CCTTCTCTCATGAGCTCAGGACTCTGCTCTGTTATTTCTCACTCTCTGTGTCCACTCCTGCTCTCGTGACCCACCCCTCCGCACAAGGGACCTGCTCTTTGCTTCTGTGGGGTACAGCCTTTCTCTTTGGGCTCATGTTCTCTTTGCGTCAGTCCTGGGCTGGTTTTGTATGGGAAGGTGGCACATCCTTCCTTTGCAAACATAGAGAAGTCTGCACCATTTCTGTGTCTTACTGGCATGTCTTACTTCTCTATTCCGAGCTCCATCAGTGGTTCTTGCATCGTGTTTTCTATTTGCTTTATATCATGCAGAACAAAACTGCTCACTACATCCAGATCCCCCTCCTCTTATCATGATTTATTCTGGGGGGTTTAATTTATTTGATTTTACATGATTGCTTTTTATTTTGATTAGGAAAAAGAGGAATAATTTATTTCTAGTTATTTAAGTATTTTGATGGGACTTGTTTTCTCTGGACATAAGAGAAAGGAGTGCTCTGTTTTCTGGCCTTCGAAGAACTGCCTCGTTTCATTGGGAGGTCTCTGAACCCAAGAAGAGCCCTGGCTGCTGTAACTGGGATGCTGTAACTGGGGATACTGTAAAATCTTGTGTCAGCCTTCAGAGCGTTTCTCAGACTTTGGAAAGTGTGTTGTCCTATGACCTCTTTGTCTTCTTCTGGGCCACTGGCTTGACAAAGTTTGCTTTCGCCCCTCTTCTGGGAGAGAGAAGGGAGGAAAACGAGGATGTAACTGCTGGACTGGAGATTTTCACTCCCTCCGCAGCGAAGGCAGACAGTAGCGGTGGGGAGCAGCGGCAGCAGGGACCACAGCCCATTCTCACTCCCCTGTCCTGGGAGCTGAGCTCCTGCTGCCACCAACACTCTGTGGTTCCGTGTGAATCCCTGGAGTACCAGAAGGGTTGTGCTCTGGTCTGAGAAACGCTGCTGGAGGCTGAGCGCCGTCTGCCAAGCTCTGTGCCTTCTGAGCAGTGTCCTGTTGGAAAATATCCGTATAACATGACCTTCCTCTAGACGCGGTGCATGATCGCGTTAGCTGAACGACACCAGAACATCCCTGGCAGAGCCTGGGATGGAGCTGCTGCCGGAGGGGGTGGCTGGTATGGGCGCAGCGGGTGCGTTGCAGCAGGAGCGGAGCGGTCCCAGGGGATGGGGGGATGCTCAGCTGCCCGCTAATGTGAGCTGCTGTTTCTTCCTTGGAGTTCAGGGAGGAGTGAGGATTTACACTGGTCAGGAACGCGGCTTCATTCACACACACGTGGGTGCTGGGTAGCCACTTTGTGCTAAGCCCCTTTCCCCACAATTGCTCTGCCACCAGCTTGTCTGGGATGCAGAACGGGCACTGCCAGCCCAGACGCAGCTTGTTTCAATAAAGGCTGTGCCATTCCGGAGCCCCCAGCTCTGGGCTGGTCCCTGTTGCTGCAGGCGATCCGTGGGCTGTTTGCCTTCTGTGTTCGTGTGTGCAGGGACCCCAACCCCCTGTGTGGGTCACGCTGCCCGCAGCGACGGGGGGAGCACACCGCAGCCTGTGGGATACTTCTTTGAGCCGGTGGTGTCCCTGTGCAGTACCTTTACTGGGTGGTTGGAGTGCAGAGTCCTGCCCGGCAAACAGGATGTCTGCTTTGATTTCAGGGGGGTTCGGGGAGTCAAGTAGTGCTTAGTAGAAGAATGTTGCAGATTGATGCACGTAGCTGTGAGCATGTCTTTGGTAGTGACTGCTTTGCTCTGTGAGTAGTTCCACAGTAGCTTTAGTGACGGGGGTGGAAGGCAAAGCAGAGGGGGTAAACGCTTGCAGGCTGATCTGTGATGAACTGCAGAGCTGGTGGGACCCTCCCTGGCTTCACGGGGTTGCTACTGATCTACAGCATTAGGACAGTCCCTGGGGCTGGTGCAGGCAGATGCTGCTCCAGGTCACCTGGAAGACTCGTTGGCATGGATGGGTCCGCTCTGCTCCCTTGGCACCGACGGCAGAAGTCCCTTGGAGACCAGCGGTACTGTCGTGCTGTGTTTTGTAGCAGTTGGGTCTGACACTGGGGCCAAGGCAAGCGAACGATCTGCCTCAGCTCTGCCACCATCAGCAGGTTGCAGAGCTCAGCTCTGAGCTCAATGCTTTTGTTGCAATTGGGCCTCAGGGACTCTTCTGTAAGAGCTGAGCTGGAGCTTTTGGCCACACTGCCTAAAGACACCAGGTCTATTCAGTGTCTCTGTTCGTGCTGCAACAGGAGGTGTCTCAGATCTGTGCTCCAAGAGTGCTGACTCTTACAGATGTGTGTCTGGACTGGGAGCCCTTGGGAATTTCGGCTGTCTGTGATGCAGCTGAAACCAAGCCAGATGCTGCCATCATTGCAGACGTGGCTTGGTGACAGCACCCATGGCTTCTAAGAGTTGTAGTGACAGTTAGTGGATGGTCTCACCTCCATGTGGGCAAGAGACTGTTTTTGTGCAGATAGAAAGGACCTTTAGAGTAGTAGCATCACAGTAGTTAATACACCCATTCACAGTGCATGGTGGTTATTAATTGTGTTTAGAGGCACCATCAGGGTGCATGGAAGTGTGTAAGGATAAATGAAGTTAAAAGCCCTGCTCTAGAGATTTTACAAGCTCAACCAGTCCCCACTCGTGACATCCAGGCTGGATGACTAATCCCCAGGGTCTGTATGGAAGAGGTTCTGCTTGCCAGGTCTTGGAAAGGCGTCTTGGGAGACGATGGGACAGAAGTTTTGCTATGTGAGAACTCAAGAGCGGGTGATGCATTGACTGCAGTGAGTTGTTGACACCAAGTGTGGAAAGACACCTGCATACTGGCAGCATACGTGCACTTAGCAGCGGGCTGTTACACCATTCACCACGTGAGCTGTGTGCTTCTTACCCACGTGCATTTATACAGCGTGCAGCTCTTCCCTGGCCCGCTCTGCCACGAAGCTGGCAGCACTTGTGCGTGTTAGCTCTGCTGTCCCCTGGGGCTGTCCATTGGGCATGAAGAGAAGAGCAGAAGCTCACTTTGTGCTGCATACCCAGGCCTCGCTGCTCTGGGCAGGAGCTGATTTTGTAACACCAATTGATTCTCTGTGTGTGCAGTGAATAAAAAGACCATTCTACCTCTGGAAAGAGCCACTGTGATTTCTCAGACTCCAAATGTTGTAGCAAAAACCCTCAGACTTTCTATGTTGAAGGAAGGAGGTAACTCAGAAAACGCTTATCCAATGAGGTTCTCACAGGACCTGAAGAGTCCGACCTCATTTCTTATTCGGGCATTTCCTCCTTAGGCTGAATCCTGGGAAGCTCAATTCATCTTTGTCATTTTTTTCCTCAGGAAAAAAACATCCACTGTCTTCAGGGAAGGGTTTCACTGAAGTGAAGATAACAAGACCTGGTCCATAGCCATGAGAGAAAGAGAACACTCTAGCACAGGGCTGCCAGAGATCCTGATCTTCAGAAGGTCAGTGGAAACCAGAGGCTCTTGAGACTCTTGTAATCAGGCCATGCTTAGAAACAGTCATATTCCAGCCAGGGCTGAACATCTTTCTGGAAATGGGTCTCAGCTGCAAAGGTTAGGACTAATACTGAATTTTCTCTGTGGTTTTGATTTTGGCCCATCTCTCTTCCTCTATCTGAGGCTGCTTTAAATTAATCCTCAGATAAAGCACGTCTTCTCTTACGTGATTTCTCTCCTCTCCTGCTGCAGGGGATCTAAAGAGTAGTTAGTGCAGCTTGAGATCTGGGTCGAATATGCTGTGTTACCCCGTGCTTCCTCGTCACAACAGGCTGAGCATTCCAGGAATGGGAGAACACAAGCATCTCCACCGGACCTCGAGGTGCCAAGTGCGTTTCAAGAGGTTGGACAAACGCTTGGGCAAATCATCTCCCAGCTCAGCGTTTGTTGTGCTGCCCTTTTGAGAGGAGTTAGGTTGGATGTGGTACTCAGGAAGGCCATTTGTTCCTAGCAGCCGTAACAGCCTCCTGCAGCTGTGTTTGACGTAAGGTTAGGCTCTGAAAAAGTATTTTTAAAAAGTCCTTAATCTTGCAGGACACACGGGAAAGGGGTAAGAGCAATTTGCTACTAACTATGCAGTTGAAATCTCAAAGTGATGGAGGTGGAGGCTCCACACACAACAGTGATGGAGGTGCATCCACCTTCCTCTTTGTGGGTGAGTGAAACCCTGGGGTGGGGAGGACCCACCCCAGTACAAAATCTTGGTCACAGTCAGTACCCACTGTGTCTTTCTTACAGTGAATCACTTGCACTACAGCTGAATGTTTGTCTGTTCCTGTTCTTCGTTTTGTCCTGGATTTTCTTTGTGAACTGTATTTGGTCTTGTTCATTAGGCTTCTGGTGTAACGTGTGTTTTTAGAGCAATAAAATGTGGCAGCTTTTTGTACAAAATACCTGGCTCTGCCTCTTTCAAAGTCCCCAAGTACATGGGACTCATCTGGGAAGCTGCAGGCTCCTGTGGTCCCCTTGTCACAGTCGCGGTCTGCCTCTCCCATCCCACCCACCTGCAGCTCCTTTCTCTGCAAACCAAGGCAACGTCTCGTGGTTGGAGGCAAAACTGCTTTATTCTTGCAACTACACAATGAACTTTTGCCAAAACGGCTACAGTGTTGACTCTGTTCCAGCCAAACCCTCCGGCTCTCAGGCTGCTTTGGTGGCTGCTGAGCAAAGGATGTACATGGTCTCTTGTCCACAGCCACATGTTCTATTTTCCAAGCCATCTTTATCTCCAGCCAGGTGCTGGTTACCTGGTCCCATACCTCGGTTTGACATATTGCCCAGAGAGCAGCAGGTAGTGTTGAATGATGACGAGAGAAGGTAAAGTTCCAGCTGGCAACTTCTACATCCAAAGGAAGACGGTCATTGCCACCCGTTCCTCTCCCACGGCCTCCACAGGGAGCTCCAGCCTCCACCTCCAGCAGCACAACTGTTTTCTTTCTTGCCCTTGAGCACGTGGACTGGTGGCCCAGCACAGCTGGAAGAAGGCAGCTCCTACCTCATGAATGACCTCCTGCCAGTCCTGAAAAAGGCCTCGATCTGTTCCAGGGACCTGCCTTTGGTTTCTGGAACGCAGCAGCCTGTGAATAGGATGTTCCCGGCACAGATGACAGCAAAGAATAAGAAGGGCACCTCGAGGCCGAAGGCTGCCTGGAAAGGGGGACAGGAGAGCAGACATGAGCTGATGCAGACAGGGTCTGAGGAGGGGTTGCCGAACACCCTCCTGGGGCAGTACCCACCACGACCCGGAGGAAGAACTGGGTGAGGGTGAAGGCTGTCAGCCAGCTCACAACAACACAGAGGCCCGAGGCCACCCCGCGGGCTTTCAGAGGGAGGATCTCCGACATCAGTAACCAAGTGATGGGGCCCCAGCCCATGGCATAACCTGCAGAAGAGGAGGGGTAAGGTGAGGCTGTTGAGGCTTCAAAGCCCACTGGGGGGTGCAGAAGAGCCCTGTGCAGTCCTGCCCTGCTCCGGCATCAATCATTATTCCCCCCCCCTTCATGCTCTGTCAGTCCTCAGAGTTACTTCAGATGCCATCTTTCTTGGTCTCCCAGGGACATCTGCCTGCCTTCCAACTCCAAGCCCAAATCTCCTTGCTCTGTATCACCCTGCCTCGCATGAGAAACATCCCCCAGGCTGGTACCCAGTCCTGTGCTGCAGGTCCTGGGCTCTCACTCTCTGCACCTACCCATTATGAAGAACATGGTTGCCAGGAGGGGGATGAGAGTGATGTAGTTGGTCGCCTCGGCAGGAACATTGGCAGAGCTCACCAGGGTCTTGTTGGCAATGGTGCCGTTCTGAGAAGCTGGCACGAAGTGGATATAGAGTCCCATGGTCAGGTTGGAGACCAGCATGACACCAGCTGTGGGGAGATGCAACAGCATAGTGAGACTGATGGGTGAGTGATCCCCTCTGTGCCAAGGGCTGAGCTCTCAGGAATGTCTCTGCTCAGGAGCTGAGCCACCTCCAAAGGAAAGAGACCCCCTCCCTCCTCATCTGAGTCCTACATGGCTGAAATTTCCACTCCTGCATGTTTGCAGAGCTCCTGGAAATCCTTAAATAATTTCCCTTGCATATGAGTGGGAGAGAGACATACCCGATACAAAGAGAAGAATCTTCCTCCCAGCTTTATCCATCGACACAGCAGCGATCGCCACCGAGAACAGACGCACCAAGCCAACAAGAGCTGCATCGTACTCTGGTTTCTGCAACAGTAGAAGCAGTTTGCTCAGGGAAGCTGAGATGGGGGAGCCAGGGAAAAGGCAGAGTCCTACGTGTGTTGCCTTGACTCTGGCTGATGACTTTGTCAAAACTATCCTCCTATAGTGAGAGACTTGAGAGGAAGATCCTGAGGCTCAGAGGAGGAGAGCGGGGAGACAGTGGGGCCAGTCCTGCTCCCCATCCTCATGCCACCTTTTACAGGGCAGGTGCTGCCAACCAAGTGCTTTAAAAAAGGCTTCAAAAGTTGGGGTCTTGGAGCATCGGGAAGCCATCACTGAAGATGGAGCAGTCCTAGCACACACTGAACCCCAGGGCTCACCAGGATGACTGATGTTTTCTTGAATATCGACTGCAGGTACACGAGGACGCAGGTGACGCCGGAGAGCTGCTGCAGGAACCTCATCCCCACCGCGATCAGGATGGGCTTGTAAATGAAGGGGTCCTTGATCTCAGCACAGGAAACCCGCCGGCTCTGGAGGGGACAAAGCCAAGATGTTACCACCTCTGGGCTCCACCACCACACCCAGAAGATGGCTCAGGAGTTGGCCAAAGGAGGCTGGATTTTGCAGTTTTCACGTTACATCTCCCCATGCTGGAGGTGAGCCCCGTCCACTCCTCACCTGCTTCCTCACGCTGTCCTTGATCTGCTCATACTCCCGGGCATAGTCCGTGTCCTTGCCCCGCAGCCAGCACAGCGACCCCAGGGCCTCGTCATCCTTCCCCTGGGAGAGCAGGAACCGTGGCGAGTTGGGCATGAAGCAGAGCAGGACGATCATGGTGAGCACGGGCACCTCCCCTGCCACGGCCAGCCAGCGCCAGTCCAGGACCAGCCCTGCCGGAGCAGCACAGTCAGGAGGGGAGTCCTGGCCTTGCCTCCAAGTGGACACCCCAGCAACACAGCAGAGATTTAATGAATCCAGGGGGGGAGAAAAAAAACAAATCCCCAAAACTAGGCAGAGATTTTCCATGTTTTTCTCCCAGCAAAGAAGCATTTTCAGCTGTTTGTTCAAAATGGGGAAATTCCAGCAAGCTCCCTCAAATCTTTGAGGATCCAGCAAGATCCTGCAGCAACCAGGGCACCCGCTGACAGGAGATGCACACACAGTTCACCGTGTGCTGCCCTTCAGCCCTGATGAAACCTCAGCAGGACCCGAGTCAGCAGGCACAGTGATTGCACGGGCAATCCTGGCCAAACCCCCCTTTGCACACCCGTGGTGGTGGTTGTGAGCTGGTTGCAAGGGGAAGGACTCCATCAACTTGCCAAGAAAGTTGTTTAAAATAAATTCCCCTTCCCTACGGTCTCACCGAGGGCTTCGTGCCCTCCGAACACTGAGATACTTGCCGAGCGCGTACAGGACGAGGGAGCCCAGCACCGCCATGATCTGAGGACAAGCGCCCAACATGCCTCTGACCCCGGGGTGGGAGATCTCAGAGATGTAGACCTGGAGCAGGACAACACACGCTTAACGGAGCTGCAACATACAGCTGTGACCACCAAAACCTTTCCTCTAGCGCTTTGCAGTCAGCTACCACAGCTGGGGAAAACCCAAACTGCTGGGAAACTGTCCTCTCAGGGTGGGAACCTGACCGGTCCAGCAGCACGAGCTGGTCCTGGCAGGCAGAGAGTTCGCGGCCCCCGCCACTTCCCTCCTTTGCCCCAGCGTGGGAGAAGTGCTCCAGTGACACACTCGGACTCCCGTTACTGGAAAAATGTGCCCCAGGGTTACTCAATTCTCGCCTTCCCCTCTGCGTGCAACCCAAGGTTGGTGTTCAGTAACCATGGGAGGAAATAACTGCTGGGAGGAATGGGGCAAGGATGGAGGACCTGCCTTCCCTTTCCTGCAGGCAAGAAAGTCCAGCTCAGTGGGGGCAGCTCAGGCTGGCCATGCCAGGGCCGCTAA